GTCTGATAATGTCCTTGAGCTATTAATTTTAGATTTATTTTTTGACCTATCCAGAATGTGGTAAAAACATAAAATTAAAGGGATTTTAACAGGGCTTTGTTGAAAGAAAAAAGTTCTAGATTTTTGCCCTTAAATGTTCCAAATGAACGAAATTGGCATATTTCACTTTTCTTATGATTTTGCTCTTGCAATTGTTTGGTAAAGGTTAAAATTAATAAAATTGACCAAAATTAAGCAAATTTGGCAAAATTTAAGCAAATTAAATTCGTTGGACAGAATGTTAGTACAAATGCACTCACCTTCGGTTCGTGCTTTGTACAACATTCTGTCCAACTCGTGCTGAATTTCACCATATTGAACGGCCTATCATTATTTATTCCTTAAATAAAAGCTGTTGGGGAAGGGTACATTAACTAGTATTTAAGATATCAGGAAAATATCAAATAATTGGAGAGTTGGTGAGTTAATGTAATTTTGGATGATCTTTCCAACAGTCCATCAATATTGCTAGCTACCATAAATTCATGATTTCAGCTGTATTTGACAGCTTGTATATATTTGCAGAATGGATTGAGACACGATGTTAGGTCTATTAAAATAGCCCTTTATATTCAATTTTGTCCAAAGTTGCTCCATTTCGGCCACACCTGTACACACATTGTGCTATCTACCTTTGGCTGTGATTGCGTTCAGCTTCAGATATAAAGCAACACTGAGTCACGGACTGCGTTGGGCAGATGGATGGACTGAGACTATTATAATTTCCAATTTTCTATGTAATTGTACGTTTTTCGCTTACCAAATATCACACGAAGATGTAATTGTAACAACAGAACATGAATAATTATATTAATTCGATGTCATTTCTGATTCCTTTGTTTAAATCGGTATATTAGGGACAAATATTGACAAAATTACATTTTTTGTGGCAGATTTCGAATTCATTTGTGTTCATGCTAAACTATTGGACAGCCGAGCACCAAGAATGCCATTGCAGGTGGAGTATGAATATGTTGATCACCGACTGGAACATACTAGCTATTCTGTAGAATATCCAAACCAATAATCTACCCCAAATCCTAACATGCCTTCCAAATTAAGTTTGGACTTACCGCCATTGTTCAGCTATATTGCGTTGTAACCTCATTTTGAATTACGCGAGTCGCAGTCCTTGGCTTCGCCCTCGTTTTGCTTATCCCCCGTGATAGTGTAAAGGAGACTTTCAATATGTTTAAATTGAGAAAAACAATATCCTCTTTTTAGAAAATAAGCCTAACATTTTTCAATAAAACACACGGTGAACAATATTGCACCCTTGAACAGAAATGGCCGTCTTAACATTTATCCAGAATGTCGAAAAACTAATCAGTTCTAAACTTTAATAATAGGTAGAAACATCCCTGAGAGAAACATCCCTAAGAATTTCAAATGAATCCCTCAAACGGTTTGGCTAGAAACCTGTAGACAAGCCTTGACAGACAAGATTTTAGAGTGGAAAATCCAAAATGGCCGCCTTTACATTTACCCAGAATGCCGAAAAACTAATCAGTTCTAAACTTTCATAGGTAGAAACATCCCTGAGAATTTCAAATGAATCCCTCAAACGGTTTGGCTGGAAACCTGTAGACAAGCCTTGACAGACAAGATTTTAGGAAGGAAAATCCAAAATGGCCGCCTTAACATTTACCCAGAATGCTGAAAAACTAATTAGTTCTAAATTTTCATAGGTAGAAACGTCCCTGAGAATTTCAAATGAATCCCTCAAACGGTTTGGCTGGAAACCTACAGACAAGCTTTGACGGACAAGATTTTAGGACGGAAAATCCAAAATGGCCGCCTTAAGATTTACCCAGAATGCCAAAAAACTAATCAGTTCTAAACTTTAATAGGTAGAAACATCTCTGAGAATTTCAAATGAATCCCTCACGGTTTGGCTCGAAACCTGTAGACAAATTAAGCCTTGACAGACAAGATTTTAGGACGGAAAATCCAAAATGGCCGCCTTAGCATTTAGCGTTTGGCTGGAAACCTGTAGACAAGCCTTGATAGACAAGATTTTAGGATGGAAAATCCAAAAATGCCGCCTTAAGATTTACCCAGAATGCCGAAAAAACTAATCACTTCTAAACTTTGATAGGTAGAAACATCCCTGAGAATTTCAAATGAATCCCTCAAATGGTTTGGCTGGAAACCTGTAGAAAAGCCTTGACAGACAAGATTTTAGGACGGAAAATCCAAAATGGCCGCCTTAACATTAACCGAGAATGCCGAAAAACTAATCAGTTCTAAACTTTAATAGGTAGAAACATCCCTGAGAATTTCAAATGAATCCCTCAAATGGTTTGGCTGGAAACCTGTAGACAAGCCTTGACAGACAAGATTTTAGGACGGAAAATCCAAAATGGCTGCCTTAACATTTACCCAGAATGCCGAGAAACTAATCAGTTCTAAACTGTCATACGTAGAAACATCCCTGAAAATTTCAAATGAATCCCTCAAACGGTTTGGCTGGAAACCTGTAGACAAGATTATTCGGGACGCCCACCCGCCCAACCGCCCGGCGAACTGATTACAATATAGCACCTTAGGGTGCGATAAAAAGTGCCAAAGTGGGGCCCTAATCCATAATTTTTCAGAGAGTTGAAGTGATATTTTACTATCATGGGGACTTAACTTGAAAGAAAACATATTGTTTTAATAAAAATCACTGTATTTATGCCCAGAAAGTACTCATGGTGAAAGATATAACTGTCTCAAATCACTTGCCATACTGCACGTGGTCTTTTGACAAAGTTTGAGCAAATTTGGCAAAAATTAAACAAACTAGGCAGAGCTTAAGCAAAGGATAGGTATCCTATGGTGGACTGAATTGAACAATGTTTTTCTCTTAAACCAATTATTGAATACATTCTGTAAACAAGAGCACAAATGTGTACAAAATGTCCCCACCTATGGGTGATCCGTCAAATGGTTATCCTAAAAATGAGTTGACAAGACTTTACCGACACAATTTGAGGACGGAAAATCAAAAAAACTAATCAGATCTAGATTTTTATATGAAGAATCATCCCTGAAAATTTGAAATTGATCTACTAAACGGTTCACCTGGAAACAAAGTATTATTGCGCGCTAACTTTTTTTTAAAACATTCAAAATGGCTGACATGACTGAGCTAACAGGTCCAAAACCTAATCAGACGTAGAATGAAGTAAGCTGAACAAGATGTTAAAGTTTTAAAAGCAACTGTGAAGCCGTTTTTCTTAAAGTTTGCAGACAAGGATTTTAGCATATGACTTCAAAATGGCTGACAGGAAGTAGGTATCGAGTCAAATTTTTTTCATCCACATCCACATGCACTCATAAGTCATCCCTGAAAATTTGAAGGTGATATCAGTAGCGGTTTAGGAGAAAACTGCCGCATGTACAGACAGACGGACAGACAGATGGACGGACAGACAGACGGACGCGCCTAGGCCGACAATATGGCCCCACACTATGTGGTGGGGACATAAAAACACAGTCCTTTATGTAATGTTGACTGATTGACAACAATTTAATGCGAAAATTATTTTATTTATATATATTTCATATAACTGCTTTTGTTAACATTTTTTGTTTTTTAGTGCAATTCTTTTTTTGTTCCTTTCTACCAATTCTTGAGAATGAAATAAAATGTCTTTCCGAACCTTGTTGGAAGAAAATAGCATATACAGGGTGGTAAAAAAATGGAAACCCTAATACCATTTTCCTCATATCTTTGTCATTTTAAAAAATGACTCCCTGATATGTTACACTCTTGTACATCATTCAATTTCCTACCAGCCTACCTTATTTCATGACCATCAGATTGATAGTCACAATGTTACAGTACTTTAAAGAACATGCCCAGTGACCACTATTGCGTTGTGGGGAAACCTGTACTCATCGTCTAAAATGTCCCTACCTGTGGGGATATGGCAGAGATAGAGTATATGAGAATGACCTCAGGACAATTGCAAACCTCAAAAGTGAGATAATTTATGTCATTCAGGCCATACCTGCTGAGGAATGCCTTCGGGTCATTGACAACTGTGCTGTTTTGCCTACAGCGCGATAATGGCCAAATCTGAAGCATCTTATTCAAAGTGCTGTAAAATTGTGACTATCAGTCTGATGGTCATGAAATATGGTAGGGTGGTAGGAAATTGAATGATGTACTAATGTGTGAAATATCAGGGAGTAATATCTTAAAGTGACAAAGATATAAGGAAAATGCAGGGTTTCCATTTTTTTGACCACCCTGTACAACATTTTCTTAAACTCTCAATATTATAGTTATACAAAGGAAATGTTGATTGATTTAACAAAAAGTATTCAAAAAATTAAAACAAACCCCCCCCCCCCCAAAAAATAGATAAAAATTAAGATAAACCTTTTATTTCATTAACAAGATACTTTTTTAAAATCAACCAAACTTTCCTTTATTATTATTACAATATTGAGAGACCTAAATTACACATTGTGTTTATGTCATTTTGTTCCAATGAGGTTCGCATAGATGTTTCATTTCATTCCGAACATATGATACCAAGAACAAAATAAGTGTCTGATGTGTTTTCTAAAACAATATACATGTAGAGAAAAGTATGAATATTTTTTTTAAACATTATCGTTACCATTCAAAAGATGACCATTAAATTGACGATGTGTAAAATTTTCAGAATTTTTTGATGACTGGTTTAAGGGAAATGTGTGTTAAAAAGTTCACTATATTGATACCACTCCTTTGAAAAAGTTTTCACCTTATTCACCGTTAGGTGGCTCCAAAAGATTTTTTGCCTGAACCGAGGATCCTATCCAGGACCTATGTGTTATTTCTACACATGCTCTACCGCTGATCTATACGGATAGACTATGATGTAAAATATAAATATATTTTTCCATATATAACAGCACTTTGGACTTTGGTTCCATATTTTTTTTGGAATGGATGTTACAGTATAATGTACGAAATACAATACCTGCATTAACAAGCAGAAGTATACAAAATGTAAAGTCTGCACTTTTAGGATCGCTGCTAATGACAACATATAGTCTGTATACAGTGAGACCTACAGTTGCCAACAGGTTGAGAATGGACACTGTCAGAAACAGTATTTCCATTGTATGTAGTGATGAAAATCTTCTTGTCTGAAACGAAACAAAGGCTTACATTACCTTAAAGGCCCGGTCACACCGCCCGGACGTTGCTGGAGCGTTCCTTGAACGTTGAAAAAATTCATCAACGCTCGTCAACGCGCACAAAATGGGAAAAAAAAACAAAAACACGGGCGTTGGCTTAGCGGTGCACCGCTGAAGCCGGCGTTGCTTTAGCGTTGGTTAAGCGGTTGCGAGTGGTAGCTAGCGTTTGTTTAGCGGTAATGCGAGCGTTGGTATAGCGGCGTTCTGCGCATGAGAGCGTTGCCTCGGCGGGGGTATAAATAGCAGCAGCGTTGGTTTAGCAGCATATCGCGTTTGACTACTGGGAAATTATTTCAAGTGGGAAGTGTTTAAGAGTAAAGACCTTTATTGGAATTTGTAACTTTAACAAAAGACCTTCAAGGATTAAAGAAGAAATGTTTTAAATCTAAAGTGCTTCTATTAATGTAATATGACATTAAGAATGAATAACATTACAATTTTCTTTAATAATCTCTCATATCATTTCAAACAAACATATCACAATTTAATCGTTGCATTTCCATTACTTGGAACCGATTTACGTTCAAATTGCTTTAACAATGTCAAATAACATTTACAGCAAAGTAATAATCATGACGCATGACAAATTTTTGCATTGCTGTGCGCGCATCAACTTTTTGTATAATACCATGACGAGTGCAACATTTTACAAGCTGCGCAGAAAATTCACAGATAATTTATTGAATTGCTTGACGTGAAAACACTAGGTATATACTATATTTGAATAAAGGTCTCAGTAAAAGTCTATTTGTATTAACATTTAATGAGAAACAAAAGTCGCATAATTCACCTTTTTAAAATCCAAAATCACAAACTTTGAGCGCTTAATTTAGGAATTTACAATGCAAAAAATTGAAATGCCAGACATGAATAAATATCAAATGTAAAATGCACAATTGTCTCCACAGTGTTCTACACAGTGGTGCATTTCTCCACGTATTTATAGCCAAATTTTGGTCCCGCTCCGACACCTCTATACAAACGCCAAAGCAAAGTTCATCGCCGCCATGGAACGCTGCGACTTAACATCCGACACCGTTCCAACAACCCCATGTACGCTGATAAAACGCTAACAACCGCTCCACCGACGTTAGTGCAACGTTTAATCGCCGCCCGGGCAACGCTGGCGAAGCAGCGGTGGTCCAGCGTTTAAGATTTCTGCGTTGGTCTAGCAGATTCAAGCGTCCACGAACTTGTGTCTAGCGGTGCCAAACTTTGACTGGGCGTTGGTTGAGCGGTGATAAACTTTGCCAGGGCGTAAAATTGTCCCTTTTTCAACGCTCGCAATATTTTGAGCAGCTCAAAACTTTTGGAGCGTTACAATGGCCACTCGAGAAACATCCGCGTTGGCCGAGCGTTTACAGCGTTGCTTTAACGGATGCCAACTTTTGTTAAACGGTGGTGAACGTTTACGAGCGTTGATGATTTTTTTCAACGTTCAAAGAACGCTCCAGCAACGTTTAGGCGGTGTGACCAGGCCTTAAGATCTACAAACCTCAAAAATTGTTAAATGCGAATTGATCTGAAGCATCATTATAATATGAACTGGGTGATGGGAATCTAATTCTAAATTCCATTCCATTTTCAAATAGTTCATGTAAATTTCCTCTTGCTCCTTTACTTACTGTTTTCTTAAAACAATAAAAATTGATGAAAACAATACTTTCCACATACAGGTACTGTAGGCTAGATCTAGCCTATACCGTTGAGAGTCTGTACCTTGTCAGTCAAAAATATGAATTTCTTGAAAAAATCAAATGCACGTATTAGATCCTTCAGTGTACTTACTTACAGGGTGGGCCAATAAAAATTGGATCATTTTTCTATTTAATCAATTTTCTTTATTATTGCAGTTCAATCCACAATTGAATTTTTCAGAAAATGTACCCAACATATTGCTTAAAATTTGAAGCTCCTATCATTTGAAGAAATACGTTTTCTGAAAAATTCAAAATATTCTGTTCAGTGACCTTTCAGATATGCTAACTTCTAACTTTTTTCAGTCACAATTTCAGAGGGCTGGAACAGCTATTTCAGCATGGTAAGGGTCAAGTGACCTCCCTGAGGGGCTACTTTTAGCTCTATTATTCAGTCACATTTTCAGAGGGCTGAAAAAGTTATTTTATCATGTTTAGGGTCATTCCGACCCTGTACACTGTGATCCTGGTCCTGAAAATGATATGTGGAACTATTTGAATTGACTAGAGGTCAAAACAGAACTCTATTATCTTTGTTCAAAAAATGTCTAAAAATGCTGCATGGGTTCCGGAAACTGAGGTATTTCTTTGTTTGGCCTAAGTACCACAGCACCTTAAATTTATTGAACCCCGGCTAGAAATTTTACAATAGTATAACTGTGTTCCAGATGGAATTACTTCTAGACAAGGATTGGCTAGAGACTTGAGTAAACCAGAGACATGTGTGTCTTAAATGTCTCTGAGTTAACTAAAGAATCCTGCACTTACTCGAGTCTCTAGCCAATACTTGGCTAGAAGTAATTTCATCTGGAACACCCTGAACCATTTGAAAAAAGATCTGGTAAGAGGTCAATGGGAACTCAAGAGGGGGGAAAGCCCCAGAGTTTAAAGATGACAGACATAATTACGTCTCTTGCTTACCACTTTCATTCATTCGAATTTTCATCGGCTATTTATCAAATACTACACTTCGATGGGATGTTTTAATTGATATAGGCATATTCCGTACACCTTTCTTTATCTTGATGTGAAATGAGAAGCTATGATAACACACCAGAAATGAACATAATATTATTCGAAGCGTATCTCGATAATTTTAATGACATCATTTGTTTGTCGTATGTCATCTTTGAACTCTGGTGTTATTCCCCCTCTGTGGGAACTCCAGGAATTTCTAATATTTCACACTTTCTATTTTTCCAAATTTTCTTTCAAAGTTTCCAAACAATACAGGAGCAACCATTGACCTGTTTCCAAGTTTACTAAAAGTAGACATTGTAATGATACTTTCCTGAAAAAAGCAAGGAAATATACACATGCCTTCATACTTCATTTTTTAACAGAAAATAACATGTGCAGGTATGGCAATTTTTTACCAAAATGTTACTTTCCAGCTGAGCCTTAACGACGTTGAACTAGGGTACAATTTTAAATGTTTGGAACTTACTTTTGTATAAAGGATAGGTATCGATATGGAGAACTGAATTCAACAATGTTTTTCTCTTAAACCAATCATTGAAAACAATCTGTAAAAAAACATGGTATTTCATGTAATGTTGACTGATTGGCAACAATTTAATGCGAAAATTATTTAGAAATATTTTATATAACTGTTTTTGTTAACATTTTTTGTTTTTGCTCCTTTCTACCAATTCTTGAGAATGAAATAAAATGTCTTTCCGAACCTTTTTGGAACAAAATAGCATATACAACATGTTTTTAGCCCTCTCAATATTAAAGTTATACAAAGGAATTTTTGGTTGATTTTAAAAAAGTATTCAAAAAAGTAAAACAAAATCCCCCCAAAATAGATAAAAATCAAGAAAAACCTTTTATTTCATTAACAAGATATTTTTTAAAATCAACCAAAATTTCCTTTGTACAATTACAATATTGAGAGACCGAAACATGTTGTGTTTATGTCGTTTTGTTCCAATGAGGTTCGGAGAGATGTTTCATTTCACTCTGGAAACATGATACCAAGAGCAAAACAAGTGTTTGATGTGTTTTTTAAAACAATATAGATGATAGTATGTATATCTATTTCAAATTATATTGTTACCATTCAAAAGATGGCCATTAAATTGACAATTTGTAGGATTTTCAGAAATTTTTGATGACTGGTTTAAGAGAAACGTGTGTTCAAAAAGTTCGCCATATCGATACCCATTCTTTTAGTTTGTTTTGTAGTTTAGCTATCATATCTGTGGCCTCTTATATTTTGATGCTTCTCTGCCATGTAATTTTCGGAAAAATTAGCATGGCTGAAACTCCCTAAATTACAAAAGGCCACAGCTTTACTGTACATTATACATGTAGTTTCAAATTGGCGCCACATTTAATTTTTGCCATCCGCCTAATGTATACCACTTAACTTTCATTGATTCTTTCATAAGTTTCGTCATAAACTCAGTTTGACCAGAAGTATCTTTGTTGCCGCTCAATTTTTTAAAAAAAATGTCACTTTTCTAATCACCCGGATGTGCTGTTTACTTGGACTCGCCCAAAACGAGGGGTGTCAAACGCAAGATGGTAGAGATGCAGACATGTCCCCACTCTCAGAGAATCTATTCCATAATTTCAACATTACTATGCGGTTTTACAAGCGAAAAGGATAAGGGCAGGTTGTATATAGGATTGGACAAGATGAAAATAAATATTCTAAATAGATGAAACCCCTTTCGAAATAAGATGGACTGAACCTACACTAATTTTTTTATTCTGTGAACCAGTTCATATGGTTAAAACCAGAACAACGGCAACACCAAAGCGTAGCGAATCCCATCAAACAGCCATGGCTGGCATATTTACAAACAAAGTATATAGCAAAAATGGCAGCCATTTTTCATGGCCACCTTCTACCATTAGACAGTGACATTAGACAGTGTGCCACGCTTATAGTATTCACATACCAAATATGAACAATATCACTCCAGTACTTTTCGAGTTATAGTAAAATACGTTAAAATGGCAGCCATTTTTCAAAATGGCCACATTCTACCAATAGTGTCATTAGACAGTGTGCTATGCTTATAGTATTCACATACCAAATATGAACAAAATCGCTCCACTACTTTTTGAGTTATAGTAAAATACGTTAAAATGGCGGCCATTTTGAAAAATGGATGCCTTCTACCAAAAGTGTTATTAGACAGTGTGCCATGCTTATAGTATTCAGATACCAAATATGAACAAAATCGCTCAGCTACTTTTCGAGTTATAGTAAAATACGTTAGATAACGAGTAAAGGCCGCCATTTTGAAAAATGGCGGCCATGTGCTTCTTTAATAATTTCTAGCTTTATTAATGTCCTATATAATTTTTTTACATTTAAAACATATTGCTATTACAGTTTTACATATTGCACCTAAATTACTGTAAAATCGGCACTTAAATGGCCGCCATTTTTAAATGAGCGGCCATTTTGAAAATCAGCTTTCGAGCAGAACTTCCACCCCCATAGGGTATATGTGTACAAAATATGAACAAAATCGGGCTAACGGTACTTGAGTTATTGCCCGGATGGACGGACAGACGGACGGACGTACGTATGGACGGACGGATGGAGGCGTTCCCTATATCCCTCCGAACTTTGTTCGATGGAATAATAATGAAAGAATGTGATGTAACCACGTGTCTACTTACCAGCTTGTTCTGTATGTCATCCATCGGACTAGGTTACATCATGGAACTCAGACAAACACGACACTGAAGGCAGTATTCTGAGGTTATAAAATCTATATCTAAATAATTTCCCATTTGCAGCCCCTTGGAGATTTCCAGAATTGAACAAAGTAGCGAACGTTGCGATCTTTCAACTTTAGTTCGTTGTTTTTCACCACCTTATGTGTAGTGTTTTCATTTAGGAGGCGGTCTTATTTGAATGCATCATTTCAGGTCTTTATGAATCAATAGATCAATAAGCAGACTAAAAATACAATTTAGCAGTTTCGTTCGATGCGTAATTGGGCCTTCTATAATCAGTAGCAAATGCTCGGAAAACATTTTCCAAAATATTTACTTCCGTTTTCCTTGAAGACATGGTTGGTTGACACGTCATTAAGTCACATGATCGATACAGTAACTAGTCACGTGATCAGACACGTGTCACGTGTCAGTCACATGAGCTTGCAAAATGGACGATCTAAATTTCCAAAAACTTGGCTAAGATCAAGATCGATATGCTGTTGGCTTCAGTGTCCTGTTTGGCTGTGTTCCACAATGTAACCTAGTCCAATGGATGACATAGGACAAGCCTGTAAGTAGACACGTGAAATGTTGAAAAGCAAGCCCAGTTTTCTATGGGAATATACGGTAATTTATAGTTACGTGTACAACATTACCGAGTTCGATGGTGCATAAGTTAGGCGGTGGATCATTTTGTAACTGTGACAATGTGAATTCATGCGACTGTTACTTGTCGAAAAGTTCCAAACATTTAAAATTTTACTGTAGATATCTATATACCCCCATAAATGTGGGGTTATTTTGAGGTTCTTTGATATTTTGGACATTTGTTTCTCAAAATAAACAAATGTCCAAAATATCAAAGAACCTCAAAATAACCCCACATTTATGGGGGTAATATCTATACATGTATACAGTTGGGGACATAAATAAATGACAGGTGGATTTGCTGAAGTGAGGATTTCCCATGTTAAAAATAAGAGAATTTACGAGAGGCCATACATCAGTGGATGAGATTATACAAAATGTAAAATATACAAATTTTAAGGGATATATATCTAGACAATATTGGAAATTATGGACTTTCAGACCACCATAATTAGGAAATGGTGATCGAAAATCGACCTGTCATTTATTTTTGTCCCCAACTGTAGAACTGAAGAAGTCAGTCTTGTTTTATACTTACTTTACCGACTACTGTTTCAGTTGTGACCGGGTTAACTGGGATCACAACCTCATCTATACTTTCATCCATCATTAGTTTTGATGTTTACGGGTCATGTGGGCCCTGTTGACAATTAAATTGTCATAATTAGATTGAAATTCGCCACATTCTTATTTCCAGTGTGTCTACCATTTTGTTTATCTGGATCATGTGACTAAAAGTCACGTGACCTCGAAGGGTATTCTCAAAATAATTCATTTCGTTCGTTTACCACGGTGTCTAACCCAAACGCTCTTACATGTATGACGGAGTGTTTCATTCACGCGGAAACGCTGTGGAGCGAAATGAAATGGCGGCTTGTATTGTTTCACTCGTTTCTCATATCATAGGCCTACGTTATGGTTTATCTCGTTCCAAGACTATCTCGGTCCGTCTTCTCGTTGCAAGCAGATTGCCCCGAACCAGTCTGTCTTCTCGCTGCAAGCAGGATGAAATTCTTTGTCACAAAGTTTGGCATTTTTTATAAAATCAAACGCGCGTCATTGAAACTCACAAGATGTAAATAGCATGTCATTTACATCATACCTTGATGGGGAAAAATAGATCTTATATGTTAGAAGTACTAAATAAAAGTAATCGTGAAAATGAGACAGTCGTTCTCGAGAGGAAAGAGCAGCGCATTTAGAGAGTTTTGGTCCGTTTAAAAATCTGTAAAAAATTGGGGTACTAAAAGCATCGGGAGGCATCATATATTTCAAATTAGACACGAGGAAGTCAATATCATGAGCAAGTTATGGCTGTTTTAAATTCAAATAAAACTGTTAACCCGTACCGGTCCAGCTTTTGACCCGTACCAGTCAATTTTCGTTAGCTGCGTATACCAAGGGTGTAATATCGCCTGACCCTTTAATGTTTCACTGCAATGCTTTCAATAGATTGGGGACATTCTGTGCTGTGGGAAAATATATGAGATTAAGGGTTCGAGGACATAATTATAGAATCTTAGATATGTGCAGTTCAATTGATGGGAAAACATTCAACAAGGCCTTCAGAGTCGTGACTGAGGAATTGAAATCCTTGTTAATTTCAAAATTCCATGAATCCGGAGGGTATTCAGCTTACTTATCGTATGATCTGTAAAATCAAGCCCTTTGATTGTTCAGTTTTTGTGCTCTACCAATCTGTATTGCTACTGATTAAAATGTATTGGCCTAAGACCACCCTTCGGTCGTTCGGGGTACAGAAAACGTTTGTGCCTAGGGGTGTATTCGACGATATTACCCCTGCTTTTCGGTCTAAATATACTAAACAGGATCCTAAGAGGTTCTGGACAAATCATTTGATTCTGGACTTGACATATTTTTTTTCCAACGAAATCACATCCAAGGGTTGAATTTTTATTGGATATTTAGAGAGCGAGTCCTGTATTGATTTCAATAAAAAGGTTAAAATAGAACGCTATTTGAGAGTTAATCTTATACTTTCATTACATTGATAAATTAAGGCAAATTCTGAAAAATTTTAAAGTGCATTTTTTATGAAATATTATCCACACTGGGGGGTATCGTGATGCAACAACACCGTGTTGTTGCATCAAGATGGCCAGACTTCCGGTGATAGATTTTCGTACGATGTTTTGTTTTCCCAATTTACACCCATTTCTAGGACGAGTTGCTCAATAATCATACACATGCAGTTAGCACATGATCTATATTTTAAAAAACTGTCATTGGTATACATGTAGCATCATCAAGAAGCGATAAATTCGTGGTTTTAATTCCTCACTATTGATGCAACAACACCACTCTGTTTCTTATCGATGATGCAACAACACCAATGTGCTGATGCAAAAACGCCAATATAATGTATCATTGAACAACAAGAGAAACTGTTTTATGTTCTGTTTACAGGTGTAGGTCGGGACATGAATAAAACGCGTGAGTCAGTGGTCCATGGACGAAACGTATTTTGTTTGGTTTCTTTGTCTATATCAAAGTTAAAAGGATATACAAGGCAAACTAAATAAAGTACAGAATCCTCGGGAGGCAATCTCATTGATATTGTATCTGAAAAATAAAGATTATACATTTTCTAAATAAATGCCCTTGATTTACCGTATGGAAATTGCTTACAAATAACTAATATAATTTTGGAAAGACAACAGATATCAGTCATTTTGTGTTGTTAGTACCTCAATTGAAATACTCAATTCTGATTGGTTGATGAGCGGGCAACAAAATGTATTGTTAGTACCTCAACTGAAATACTCGATTCTGATTGGGTGATTAGCGGTCAAAATTATGTATTATTATATACCTCAAATGTATTCTAGATGCTCATTGGCTTATTCATGGTCACATGACATGGAATAGATGAACAAATTCCCTGGAAAGTCCTAAATCCCTGCTTTCAGGGAAGATGAATTGTACTAATCACCAGTTAGGTCATGTGACCAGTCAATAGTACATTTTATCTTCCCCCAAATCTGAGATTATAGGAGTTGAAAGGTAAAATGCCTTTAAATGCCAATAAGAACCTGTGAACATTTGATATTGAAATGAAAAGACTTCTCAATTTTGTTTTTGTTTACAGAGTACTTATCACTTTATCAGGTATATAATAAAACAAATAGTGACTGCCACATTTTCGGGAAATAGTGTAAAAATTTTCCTCTCGGGAATATCCTGTCCACTGACTTGTTCCCTCGGCCTGCAGCCTCGGGAACATGTCAGTGGACAGGATATTCCCTTGAGGAAAATATTTTGCACTATTTCCCTCAATGGCAGTCACTATTTGTACACTGTTGACCGCTACTAGGTACTGTTGACCGCTACTTCTGAAAAAAGTTTCATGACGTCACAAAAAATCATGGAAGACGGACATTTTGTAAGTGTTGATGAAAATGACTTTACTAGGCGACAAGTATAGCAAAAATACAAATAGAAACTTAAAATTAACATTAATTCACTAACGAGTACGCCGTGATGTGCCAAATACAGAGTTAAGCTTCTTGCACTGTCTCCATATTTTCTAAAAAAATATTGCTAACGTGGTTCGGAGAAAAGGTTGTGAAATGAAGCCATGCCGATTGATGATCGTCGTTTATATGTGTATTATTAGTTTACTCGGACTAACAAAACAATAGTAGACCTCTCCATTCGATCAACCGTCAAAATCATATACCTCGACTGTAAACCTTGAAACTACTGTTGACCTCGACCTTCGGTCTCTGTCAACAGTTTTTTCGGTTTACAGTCTCGGTATACAATTTTGCCGGTTGGCCTCTGGGGAGGTCAACAATTGTAAACTGTTGACCACTACTAGGTACTGTTGACCCCTATTTTTGAAAAATTGTTTTTTTTAATGTTGAAATTTTTTTAATTTTGAAAAAATAAGTTGTGTAAAAAATTGCAAGTATTCGACGGTTTGGGGATTTTTTGCTAAAATATGATACCTTTACTTATCAAATATGTTCACGTGATATTCGATTATATATTCGTCCAATTATTATATTATTTGGACTAACAGAACAATTGTTAACCTCTCTTTTCGGTCAACTGGCAAAAGTGTCCTCGACATCTGGTCTCAGTGATCAACAGTACTTTCAACGTTTACAGTATCGGTATACAATTTTGCCAGTTGACCTCAAGAGGGGTCTACAATTGTATATTGTATATCCTTTGTTATCCCACCCAAAGTATGATGTCATATATCAGGTTGAAGAGTTGTATACGCTGCTCAGGAGTTTACGCTATCCAGGAGTTGTACATCGTTCTCAAGAGTTGTATAGGATGAGTGTTGGTTTAATGATATTGCAGTTATACAATGCTATTATATAAAAGTTATTTACTGAGAGGGACTCAATATTGGTGGGCCCAGAAAAGAAATTGGGCCCTAAAAAGATTTTGGGCCAAAAAAGGCCTTCAGGCCCCAAAAAGTGGGCCTTTTTGATCATGAATGGGCCTTTTAAGGCCTTATTTTTTAATTTCAGGCCAAATTTTGAAGAAAATGGGCCTCTAAATTTCAAAATTTGGGCCCACTTTTGGGTTTTAGGGGCCCAAAAATTTTTTCCCAGCAAGCGCGGACGTGTTTTTCTCTGACCTGAAATTTGCCCCCCCCCCCCTTGTTGGTTCCCAGATCCGCCCCTGTACATCTACTAGTTTATCACTGTTCCACAGATGGATGACAGATAATATCATGATAATATCCAATAGCTCATCATGTTTACCGAGAACGAAAGATGTTTGTCCACCATTTTGAATGATACTAACTGGAGTCAGGGCCATCAAGCTATGGAACAGTGGTTTATGAAAATAGATTGGGTTACTAAAGCTTGCCATGTTAAAGGCGATTGAACTATGTTATAGAATAACGTCCAGTACATTATAATATGTAAAAGTATAAATTTTTGAAAATACATATAAAGGATCTTCGCCCACAGGACGTGTATTTTGAATGCCTTGAGAAGAACGCAAATATGGGTAGGCTAATTGGTAACGGTATTGCAATAGTAGCATTAAAAAATCTGTTCCTCTCGAGATTTATGGTCTTCTGAAATTATACTATTAATTGGTGTTGCTGCATCATTGCTCAAATCTAGAGGAGTGTTGTTGCATCTTCGGTTTGGTGTTGTTGCATCAATAGTGAGGAACTAAAACCGTGAACTTATTGCTTCTTGGTGATGGTACATGTATACTAATGACAGTTTCTTTAAATATAGATCGTTCGCTAACTGCACGTGTATGGTTATTGAGCAACTCGTCCTAGAAATGGGTTTAATTGGGGAAACAAAATATCGTACGAAAATCTATCACCGGAAGTCTGGCCATCTTGATGCAACAACACGGTGTTGTTGCATCACGATACTCCCCAGTGATCCAAGTATTTAGATGAAACGGTCTTATTTAAATACAAATCATAACATGATGATATTTTTTCATAAAATATTTCTTCAAGAAATTCAATTGAAGGCTCAAGATAAAACGAGCTAATTTAGGTGAAAACCCTTACATGATGATGTGTTTTCATGACTTCTTTCATAAAATTCCATCAAGGGGTGAAAATAAAATGATCGAATTTAAGTGATTTAAGGATCACGAGGATAGGTTTTCTTGGATATTTTCTATGAAATCCCATCCAGTGGTCAAGGTAAAATTTTTATTTGGTATATTTGGTCACGTGTTCGAACCCATAGAACGGTTAT